AGCCCGGCATTTTTTTTTTTTTTTAATAGAGACAAGGTCTTGTTATGTTGCCCAGGCTGGTCTCAAACTCCTGGCTTCAAGTGATCTTCCCACCTTGGCTTCCCGAAGACCAGGAATTACAGACATGAATCACTGAACCTGGCCCATTAATTTGTTAAAAATCAAGATTCCCCTAGTTTTTGGAGGTTTTTTGTTGTTGTCATTTTGAGCTCATAAACATTTAGTGGGCTTTAATTTGAAGTTCATTTTGACTTTATTTGCCCTTGCATGTTGTAAGTTGTTGATTACTCTTGAGTAAACTCAATGAAAATTTTGTCATAAGTATTCAAATTAATGAATGGGAGCCAAGTTCTAGTGGTTATACAAATGCCACTTTGTAGTGGATGTTACTGATATCACCAATTCTTTGCTTTTTTTCTCCCCAGTATTTTATTAGGAAAACTCTCAGACATACAGAAAAGTTGGAAGAATTGTATGAACACCCATATACTCACCACATAGATTTTACAATTGTTGTTAACATTTTGCCATCTTTGTTTTATGACATATTTATCCATCTGTCAATTCATTTTATTTTTGGTGCATTTCAAGTATGCCACTTTGCTTTTGGCAACAATATATTTTAACATTTTATTGGACTACATATTACTGTAAAATTCTTTGGTTTTCCTGATTGTCAGTATCAATCACACATGTTTTATATTCCTGAAAATTGATAGATATGCTTCTGTATTCTTTTTTTCCCCTGTAAGTTCGAAGCATTCAGCAAACAATGACAAGGCAGAGCCACCAGAAACGTATACCTGATTTTCATGACAAATATGGTAATGCTGTATTAGCTAGTGGAGCTACTTTCTGTATTGCTGTATGGACATATGTAAGTACTATTGATTGATAATTTCTATTTTAGATGCTTTTCATTCGCATTTAGTTTGTGCATTCAAAATGTTTAACATAGTAGAATACATATCCAGTTAGGGGGATTTGAGAGATTGTCTAATCTAATGACCCATTCAGTGTAGGAATTTCTTCCTCAGCATTCATTTTTCTTCTGTTCTTAACATTTCCAGTGACAGATTGCTTACTGAATCACAAGGCAGCCCTTTTCCATATTGCATCGTTGTTTAATTAACATATATATATTTTTGAGTTGGAGTCTCACTCTTTCTCCCAGGCTGGAGTGCAGTGGCATGCTTATAGACACCACAACCTTGACCTGCTGGGTTCAGATGATTTTTCCGCCTCAGCTGTCCAAGTAACTGGAACCACAGGCATGTGCTACCACACCTGGCTAATTTTTTTTTTTTTTTGAGTTGGAGTTTCACTCTGTCACCCAGACTGGAGTGCAATGGCTGCTCCTGGCCACCGCAGCCTCGACCTGCTGAGCTCTGGCGATCCTTCCGCCTCAGCCTTCCAAGCTGGAACAGGTGCGCGCTACCACACCTGGCTATTTTTGATTTATAGTGGAGATGAGGTCTCGTCAACTTTCCCAGGCAGGTCTCGAACCCGGGCTCAGGGAATCCACTCACCTCGGCCTCCCAAAGTGCTGGGATTACAGACTGAGCCACCGAGTCCGGCCTGATTTTTTTTTTTTTATTTATTGTAGAGATGAGGTCTTGCCAAGTTGCCTAGGCTGGTCTCAAATCCCTGGGCTCAGAAAATCCTCTCCTCTACCTTTTAAAGTTCTGGGAATACAGGTATGAGCCACCATGCCCTGCAAAAAAAATCTTGAAATTCTGATCCACTCTTCACTCTTATATGACAGCCATCAGATACTAGAAAATTGATACTATGTTTCTTGAATCTTTTTTAGTTCTATTGGTCTTTCTTTTTGTTACATGATTTCCGGGAATTTCACTGTCTTGGGTCACCCTCCTGGACACACTTCACTTAATGGTTTTTCTTCTAAAAAAGAACCGAGCAGAATATTCTTTCAGAACCGAGCAGAATATTCTTGATGGATGAAATGTAAAATAACTTGGTTTTCATATTTTTTATACTTTACATCTTACATTTAACAATCTACTTTTCAGTCAATGTGCTTATTTGTTAAAAGTAGGAGTCCTAGGCCGGTTGTGATGGCTCATACCTATAATCCCAGCACTTTGGGAGGCCAAGGTGAGAGGATTGCTGGGTTTGAGACAAGCCTGGGCAACTTGGCGAGACCTCATTTCTACAGTAAATCAAAAAATTAGCTGGGCATGGTGGTGTGTGCTTGTAGTTCCAGCTACTTGGAAAGCTAAGGTAGAAGGATCACCTGAGCCCAATAAGTTGAGGCTGTGGTGGCTGTGAGCGTGCCACTGCACTCCAGTCTGGGTGACAGAGTGAGACTCCAACTCAAAAAAAAAAGAAAAATAAAAAGTAGGAGTCCTGAAGTTTTAATAAGTATGTAAGTTGGTTATAAAAGATATGAGCCGACTGGGTGTGATCGCTCATGCCTGTAATCCCAACACTTTGGGAGGCAGAGACAAGAGGATTGGCTGAGCCCATGGGTTCCAGACCAGCCCAGGCAACTTGGTGAGACCTCTTCTCTACAATAAATCAAAAAATTAGCCAGATATGGTGGCACATGCCTATAGTTCCAGCTACTTGAAAGACTGAGGTGGAAGAATGCCTGAGCACAGCATGTTGAGGCTGTGGTGGCCATGAGCATGCCACTGCACTCTAGCCTGGGTGACTGGAGTGAGACTCCAACTCCAAAAAAAAGAGAAAAAAAAAAAGATATGAACCAACCCTTGCCTTAATTAACAAACTTTATTTAAATAAATATACCTCTTCATTTTTGTTTTGATCTTCCTGAAATCAGGTACATTATTAAAATGTGTGTACTTAATTAGAAGGATAAACCAATGTTGAACAAATGTGTTGTCAGAAGGGCTTTTGAAAGTAAAAATGGTCCTTAATGATAAAGAGATGAAGTGCTAGGTTTGGCAGTTATTTAGGTAGTTGTGGTTGAGGGAAATAATGTTTTGAAGAGATAATGTAGAAATGTGAAGTATAAGTTTAAATAAAATTTTAAAATTCACTTGTTCAGTCATACTAGCCACATTTCAAGTGCTCAACAGCCACATGTGGCTATTGACTATTATTTTAGTGCAGATACAGAACATTTCCTTCATCTCATGGATGTTCTATTGAACAGCACCACTCTAGAGAATTAGGACAGCAATTAGGTTTGGCATACATGGAGGGCACTATGTCTCAGGTGATTTCTGTGTATTTTTAACCTGTAAAGCAGAATATCTTGTCATTTTCAAGAAATAGCTTCAAAAGAGATGAACTCTGGTTTAAGCATGTATAACTGACAACATTTTAATTCTTACAGGTAGCAACACAAATTGGAATAGAATGGAACCTGTCCCCTGTTGGCAGAGTCACCCCAAAGGAATGGAGAGATCAATAATCATCCCATCTGGTGTAATACTGAATAGTTAAAAAATTAACTCATAATTGATGCCAAGTAAAAACGCTGTGTACCCATTAAAATATGGCATTGTTGAAGAAATAAAGTACATTTGAAACCTTCATTGTAGTTTTTGTTTGTTTCCTTTATAAATTAAACCCAAGCTTATCACTTTTTATTTAACCTTTGTAAAGTCAAAATGGTATACAACATCTTTAATAGCTTCTCTCTATGAGGTAAAGTGAAAGGAAAATTTGGCTATCATCTAGAAGTCATTTTTTTTTTTGAGTTGGAGTCTCACTTGGTCGCCCAGACTGGAGTGCAGTGGCTGCTC